GTAGACTTTGAATGACACACACACACACACACACACACACACACACGAACATTCACATGCTGCATGACTGCATTCATAACATCGGGATAAGCTGCTGCTGTGTCTTAAATCTGTGCATTCTTCTGCACTGTTGTGAAATGTAGTCATAATTAAAACAACTCCATTCTGACAACCATTGGTCTAAATAAAAATGCAATTTCATCTGAACTTAGGCAATAGCTCACCATTAATCTTATAACATCTACTTGTCACCCCATTCTTGGGCAGCACTAACAGATCTGTGGGATTATGGGCTGAAAGTCTACGTTCTGACGTTTTGATCAACTTGATCTACACCTTCATTCATAGCCTATGGGTTTTTATTAATGCTGTGTAAGGCTATAGCTCATAGGCCTGCTTAAAACAAGAACATGGGCAAAGATGTGATTCCTGCACTGTTTTCCAGTGGTGGAAGAAGTACTCAGATCCTTTACTTAAGTAAAAGTAGCAACACAACAGTGTAAAATACCCTGTTACAAGTAAAGGTCTGCAATCAGAATGTTACTTAAGAAAAGGTATTAGCATCAAAACATACTTAAAGTACTGAAAAATAAAAGTTCTGATTATGCAGAATGGCACATTGTGCATTCTTGTATATCATATTGTTGTATTATAATTACTGATGCATTATTGTGTACATCACATTTAATGCTGCAGCTGGTAAAGGGGGAGCTAGTTTTAACTAACTTACATGTAAATGTACTTAGTTACTTTCCACCAATGCTGTTTACATGTCTGCTCAAACTGAGTGTAGAAAAAGCTTCAACCTACAGCCTCATGAATGATCTGTTCTTACTCCTGTGGCATAAAATCTACTGGTAGTTGTAGGCAAGCCAGCAGATTGTCATTTCAATGCAATAGCCCGGGTCTATTACAAGCTCACTTTTGAAAGTTTAACCATTCACCTAATCGTATTGTAGTTTCATGTTAATATTTTGCCTCAAAGCTTATCATAGCCTGGCACATTTTATAGACAAAAGCTGCTTTAGCTGTATATTAGTGATTCATCAACATTGTAGCCAAACTAACCTTATTGATGTTAAGTCTACCTTATGTTTAGCTCATTTGCAGCATATTGTCAAGAAACAAAAGGCTACGAAAACATAAAGAAAGGACGCTACAACAGGTTTAATGTACAATGTAGCAGTGCATTCCTTCTTTCTGCATGTCTAAGCAATTTGTTGAATATTATCACATCTGCATGAGTGTATGCGTATCTAAATAAATAAACAGATTTGCTACAGTAGGTAACTTTTTTTCAGTGACAGGGGTGCCTTTTTTCCCCTTTTAGCTTGAGCACAGGACCCCAAACCTTCTGTATATGGCCCTGTGCTGCAGACAGTGCACATCCTGTTACTGAATGGGCATTAATGGCTGTGTTACCATGAATGGTGTTTGTTCTGGTTTGGAATAGTTACAACTTTTTTTTTTTTGGCTTTGCTAACCACACAAACAATAAAACAACATTCAGTAACTAAACTGCCATCTCAGCCATTTTTCCTTACAGGTAATGCATATTGACAAACATACTGTACTTGTGGTTTTGTCAGTCAGGTGACAAGGTCGGTTTGTACTAGTAAGAGTTATATTAGTTGTTGCTCACCATCACTTGTGATATGTACAGCATCACTTACTCAATATGCCTCTTTTTGTCACAGCTATCGATCCATTCTTCAGCTGGTGAAGCCATGGTATGATGAAGTCAAAGATTACGCTTTTCCATATCCTCGTGATTGCAACCCTCGATGCCCGCTTAGATGCTATGGACCCATGTGTACCCATTATACACAGGTAAAAAGTATAATGATTAGTACTACACATAGTGCCACTGAATTTCTGTAAGAGTGACATCAACTGATTTTGTTTTGCAGATGGTGTGGGCAACATCCAACAAAGTCGGCTGTGCCATTCACACTTGCCACAATATGAATGTATGGGGTTCAGTGTGGAAACGTGCAACGTATTTAGTTTGCAACTACTCACCTAAGTAAGTATAACTGATAACTATCTGTATGGTTTGCATGTAGTGTTAATTACATGCTGTAAGGAGGTCTGTTAATCCTGATGACGATGGAGTGACAACAAAAATAATCTCGACACAGTCCGCTCTGTTCTGTACTAAATTGTGAAATGCCACCCACGTTGCTGGGAGATTCAGAATATATCAATACAAGCTCGTGAACTAGTACAGTATTTGTTAAGCTCTGGTGACCCATAAATCAGTAAATAACTTTCTAAAAAAAAAGTCTAGGAATCAAAACCTGTTTGGACTTGGGACCTAGGTTCTTTAATCCCACTCATAGTTATAGTACCAGGCCTATTTTATCTTGTTTATTGGAAACGTGGCCTCCACGCTGTGGGTTTGGACATAATCCTGCAGTTGTCACTGAGAACGACCGTTCTGTGAATGACACCAACCTGCAATAACACGTGAATGTGGATGCTGCCAATTTGTGTTAATTTAATTGCTATATACATCTTGTAGCACAATGTGTCTTTGATACACATACTGAAGTATGATTTTTCACTTCCTAAGTTGCTAAGTAATTAATATTTTGCTCTTAACGAAACAATCTCACTTAAAGTTCTATTTAGTAGATGGAGCTTTCAAGCATGTCACATGATTTTAATCTGCAGATACAGCATCCTCAGGTGCCATGTAGTTTACATTTCAGTGTTTTTCTGAGCACTTGGATGAGATCTGGGCACACTCTCTGCTGTTGAAAATGCACAATTAGATGTACCAAAGAATGAGAAAGCATTCATATGGAAACTCAGTATAAAAATTAAACAATGTCAGGCTGTGCTGTCATAAATCTTCAGAGCCCACAATAAGCAGCACCATTTTCCAAACCTAATTTACCCCTAAAACAAAGCACCCCTCAGTCCCACCCTCACTCAAGCAAAGAGCAGATATGAGGCTTGACACACAGTATCTGTGTTGTATTTACTCAGGTTATACAGTGGCTGGCCCAGGTGGCTTGGTAGGCAATCACATTCGAGAGCCAGGCCCACTCACCAACCACCAATACTGTTCTACCAAGATTGTGAATCAGAAGAAAAATACACCACTAACAACCCCACTGAATCAATAACTATATTATCACCAACACCAATACACGTTCTGCGTGGGAGTGAAGGCAAGTCTAGAGGGTCATCAGGTTGGCACCCCCTCACTATCTGGTGTTTTGTTGAGTTGGGTCCATGACACGGAGAAGGCTCAACAGTGTGTTCCAGTGGCCCAGAAGCAGCCCCCACTTGCCTGCACCCACTATGCAACACACTCCAATTCAGGCTCACTGAAATAATAATAATAAAATAAATCAAGCCATAGCAAACATTATGAATGCTGTTCTAACCAACAAATGTCGGCCAATGTTTCAGCTAACCCAGCCAAACTTCTGCTTCCTTTTCTGCTGCATCAGGTTCCAGCCTGTGTTGCTAATCACTCCAACAAGGGTCAAGGTTCAAGGATTTTATTGTCAATTCACCATATGCACAGGACATACAGAAAATCGAAATACCATTTCTGAACAAAACGGTCAAACCTCTAATATATCCTCATGTTAGCTTGCTCATGCTAAGACAAGGAAGTAGGCCTCAAGGCTGCCTCATTTATTGAACATTTTTGTTAAGCCAATCCTCCTACATCATGCCAGTTTACTTCAAATTAACAGACATAATCCACACATATGTTGCAATTTCCAATTTCCTCATTGCACTTACCTATTTTTATCTTAGTCACACACCTTTCTTCAGCTCCAGAGCCACTCCCTAGCCTTATTACATCATCAACTAAGTTCTTGCCCTGTGTCTTAGGCTCCACCCTTTTATACCTAAGTCACCTAAGAGAGAGACAACTGACTTGACTACAAAGCCCCTACAACCAAGTTCTACTGAGCGGACTTTAACTTTCCTGCTACACTCCTCTGATGATGATCATATTCTAGAGGCTGACTTTACTTAACACCTTTTTAAACTAGAATACTGATTCAAGATGAAAAGTTGACTCTGTGGTTATCCTCAGGTCCATTCACAATACGTATATGTTTCTGTCTTCCAGGGGTAACTGGATTGGTGAAGCTCCTTACAAAGTAGGCGTACCCTGCTCCGCCTGCCCACCTAGCTACGGGGGCTCCTGCAGCAACAACATGTGCTTCCCTGCTCTCAAGACAAACTACCTGCACTGGTTCAAATAATCCCAGGTTTCCTCTTGACATAAGCTGACAGCATACAGTACCACAGAGATATTATATTTGATCTGAAAGGATTTGCACAACAGTCGTGGATCATGCTATTTTGTATATATGAGCTTATTTAAAGTCAGAAACATACATCTGAAGCCAGCAGACAATTTAGCATTGACGACGTGTAAATAAACTGTAAATTAATGTTTTACATTTTTACCAGAATTGCTCTAACAATTTTAATTGATGAAATATAATTTATGTTGAAAATGGGTCCTTAAAAACATGGTGCTGCAGACACTTTTGTTGTCATTATATTTGTTTACCATTGACAATGTGGTCTCTAAGGACATAACACCATCAGAGCTGCTCATACTGACTCACTATGGTGCTATGGGCATCACACGTTCATGCTGTGTGCATGCCTTTGCAGGAATGTTGTCAA